GAATTTTATCAAGAAGAGAAACTTTGGGAGAAAGCTAATAGATTATATCGTGGATACGAATTTATTTCTCTTAGAGGAAAAGATGATGCACAAACAAAAAAATATTTTGGAATTGGGATCAATGCGTATGAAATTGGTGAGGGTGAATATGATACAACGGAAAATCATATTAAACTTGCATCAAAAGATTTAATTGCGGGGCTTATTTCGATGGATATCACTCACAGACTACTATATCTTTTGGAAACTGTAAGACTTCCTTACGTCACAAGTGAACAAATTTTGCTTATGCTTGTTCGCTTTGCACGTCATTCACGAAAAACTGCCAAAACTATATTCGAATGTCATAGGTTGTTAGATGTCGTTCATGAAAAGTTTTTATGCTTGGCTTGGCCACCTGTAGATAACAATGATAGTTCTTCAAATGATTCAAAATATCCGAACTTGGCTGCTGCTAAACTCATTCATATATTGTGTCAATCCTCAAAAAAAAACAGTAAAGAAATTATAAACAAATATATGAATACATTTTTGAGATATATTACAATCAATCCTGCATCATTTTCTAGTGAACTTGAAATGAATGTTGGATATAATTTTTTTCTTGAAACACTGCGCATTTACCAAACTCTCGCTGCATATGGACTTTATCATGAAATATTTTCACAAACATACTGTATTGTAAATTGGTATTTAGTGAGAGAAATATTATATTCTCTCACTCCTCCATGGGAATGGAAAAGTGGTGATAATTATCAAATGAGACAAAAGCTGGGAATAGCAACATCTTTCTTCAGACTTTTGGAAATTTGGATTCGTGTTCAAAACTCTGAATCAGGTAATATTAAAGAATATGGTGCACAGCCGAGCGAGATTATAAGAGATTCTGTTGATTTCTTAGCAAACTGGATGATTACATTTTCATCCTCTCTTTTATCGCAAAATATGGACATTCGGGAAGATTATGAAAAGGCCTTAAATTTAATGTCGAGTATTACAAGATATATTTCCACGTGGTGTAAAGATTTAGGAGAGCATCAATTAAAAGATACTAGTGAAATATTGAGAATTTGGGAAAAATTGAATCTTGCATATTGGCCTTCGTCTAATCTTTGCAATTATTTACAAGATCAATTAACTAATCAGATACAAAAAATGCAAAAGATATCAAGAGATGATATTTGGCAAATATCAAATTTATCGGGTGCATATCATCCATCCACTTACGAATATATTTCTGAAACCCTTTCAATTTCAATAATATGTGATTCATACTTGTCATATATTTCTTTGGTTTATCAGATGTGCCAATTGCTTTCTAACGACAATAACTTTTCGCTCAAAGCGTTGGAAGTGATCAAATCAAGTATATCAATTGATCCATTACTACTTCATACGATAAAAAGTCCTGCAAAAGGTGATTGGCTTGATTTCTTCAACAAAACGCGTACTTATTTGCTTTATGAATGGATGATTGCTGTCAGCACGCTTATTGATAATACAAGAACAAACGAAATAAATGTACCAAATTTAACGAGCCTATTACATGAAGCTTTAATAATAATGCCCAATATTTTACCCGGTGATGAAAAAATAGCTTTGGATATTCTAGCCCGAATAATGAAAGGAATATACTCAGAATCACCCGACGCTGCTATTAAAGAGAGCATCAATACACTCAAGTCATTTTATGAATGTCGAATTGTTACAAATAATACTGATGATCAAGAGAATAATACTTTATTATGGGATTACGGAACTTCAGACGGATTGCCATTATTAAAAGGTTGGTTATGGACACCAATTGATGTTCTCTATTCCAAAAAACCAGATCTGGCAATGGACGATGAAGTTCGAATTGAAGCAGTCCAGAATTGTTTAATTTTGGTGTGTGAAGTTATGAAATTATGCAAGAACATTACAGATTTTTCAATTGCCAACTTTATTATAGATCCTGTTACAATTATAATATCCATTATGAAAATCTTTATGTTGGATGGTGAAATCTATAGATCACCTGACATTGAACAATTGATTGAAAGAATCATTTCATCGTTCACTTGCCAACAATCTTCTGGCAATAATACTAAATTGATTAAGCAATTTCTGGAAGATACAACAGGAGTCCTTGAAGTACCATTTTATCAATTTTTTACAGATTTTTCAGCTGCATATGCTGCTGGGTCATACGGTAACAAAACTTTTGCGCAATTGCTAATTCTGCCAATATCCTCCACCTATCCTATTGACTTCAAATATCTCGTATGGAGCGATTTGTACGATATTCTGGGAACAATTAGAATTGATTATAATGATGTGATATGTTTGGAACCATTAAATTTATATTTTTGGCCCATAGAAATTAACGCAGCTATATTACAAGCATATGTTGGTGCAGTTATTCATTGCAAGGTTACACGCGATAAAGCACCATTCATGTATTGGTTGGCGATTCATCATTTAAATGGTTATGTGTTTTTTGAAGATTGGAAGATAAATACTCAAAAAAAGATTGATATTTCAAATGCAATAATTAAAAGTAAAAAACTAGTAATGATTAATGATTGGATTAAATATACATCGAGAAATTTTGGTGAAGGAGTGTTCGAATTGGTCAAGATGCCTCAATGCTTCATGGATATTGATCAGGAAGTTCAACGTAGAATAGAAATATTAAAAGAGCTTAAAATTGAATTTGATGAGATAATATTTGGAGGGTGAGGAGGGTAAAGTCGGATACTTGGTATTTTTTCAATTTTTTTGAATGTAAATATTTGCATTTTATAGATTGCATTAATAAAAATAAATGTTTTTTTAAAAAAAGAGTTTGTTATATTATTTTTTATATTGTAATAATGTTATATTTATTTAGATTTATTATTTGCTTAAAGTTGCTATTTTATTTTTTTATACTGTTATAGAATGAGTTTTCTAAATTTCTTATTATTAGTATTATTTAGTATTATTATTAGTATTATTATTATA